GGCAAATTAAGCCACTTGTATTGACTGTTGGCCAATCTGTATATAGGAAGTCTCAAAATGACAGGATAATACATCTCTATTTGTCTCTCTAGACTTGTTTTATGTATATAAGGAAAGTTTTGTGAAACTGTTGTTTTAGTTTAGTAATTATGCAACAGGAGAACAGTTTAGAGTTATAATGCTTGATTATGCAAAGCATACTTAAGGAGAGAGCTCGTATAATTTACTTTATTAATTTGTACATTTTATTTTTGAGCTTTTTAAAAAGAAATCAGAGTGCTAACAATGAAGGAATAGTAACACTTATTTTCTAATAGTTATTAGAGATTCCCAGAATAATATATCAAGTCAATTTCAACAACATCAGTAACATGTGGTAAGAAAATTATTTTTGTTTGAAAATAATCCAGATATATATAGATCTTTAATTACAAAAATAAACTGTTAAACAGTCAACATTTTTCAGTCAAAATATTATTTCTAGAGAAAACAATATATATATATGTATAGTAAAACACCATTTTGATATGTATAACCACATGAAACTAGAAAATCTTCACTATGAGAATGGCCTCAGGATAAGTAGAATTCTCATTAATGTAAATGTAATTTTTATAGCGAGAAAGCATGTATTTACTCTAATGTATGTTCCCTAGCCATTAGAAAGAATTACCTTAGTTTTTAGATTCTTCATATATCTAATTCCTCTTCTATTCAAATGAACATGCTGAATATAATGTGGTTTCCTTTTGGAAGATAAGTTAAAAATGACTCATTATATTGCAAGCTTTATATTTACCACTTCTAAACAAAGATATACCCAATAGGCTGTATAACTAAATCATTCAACATGATTTACTGTGTTTCCAGCATTATTTTGGATTATATCATCTCACAAAGACTCATAAATATCTTGTCCAAATATCTATTAATAATGTCATAATTTGACAGGGGGCCAAAACTATTCATTCCCTAGAATTTTAAAGGACTAAGTTTGAATTGCAGAGTAAGAATTGTACTTAAGAATAAATAAAAAATAATTATGTGCAGTTCCAAGCATTTTTATATTGGTTTCCATCTGCAAACTTGTTTTTTCCTTTTTCTCATCAACAGTCAGTTTAATAAGTTTAAGTCATTTGTTAATACTGCATGGAAGAGTTAACTCATTAAGAGCTTAAAGAACTATGTTCTGTGTACTAGGTAGCTAAAACTATACTCTTATTTGCTCTTCTATAGGCCTCCAATAATGAAAATCATAAGTTATACAAGTCCAAATAAAGGCAGAAAGGTCAAATTCAGACAAAAAATATGTCATTTCACTAAACATAAAGGACTATGGTAACATTTTTCAAGTCAGTGTTCCATACTAAAGGCAGTTTAAATAAGTGAATGCAGATTTATATTGCCAGGAAACATGTGGACATGTTCTGTGCTCCCATGAAAAATCCTAATGTCATATCTATACCAGAGATGTAGTCAGAATGTTGTATACACATATAATTGTGTCAACAGTTAATGCAAGCCAGAGCAAAGAAACCATGTTGTATGTGTCCTGTTTTTGACAATGTCCTAATCTTACTGAAATAAATATGAGCAGTGTTCAACAAATACTGTATTACATCTACTTAGAAATCAGAGGCAACAATTTTATAACAATGATTTCTCTCTTTGAATATACCTGGGTCTATTTTCCCCTTTCTTAAATCCAGAGCAATTTTTCTACTCCTTATACAAAACCACCAAAAACATAAGTGCTAGAAATCATGTAGGCTGATACAAATGCTGTGAAAAGTTTGAGACATGCACCATATTTTCACTCAGCCTCCACTTAGCTGATATTACCTTTGTCCAATAGTGGTCAATAACAAGCAGTGGAGGAACCTAATGATATATTTTTATTTTGATTCTCTTAGTGTTCCACCTATATTATTAAGAGAGGAGATTTTCAGTGTTAGACTATAGATTTTACACATAATATTCCTGCTTAAAGCTTAATTTAGGCTTAGATAGAAGGTTTAATTTTTAAGTCCACTTCAGTATTGACAGTTTAAAAATATGAGTAGAATTTGACTGAAGCTGACAGCTTAACTGACCTCAGAGGAGCACAGAAATTCTCCCCCAGTCAAACACATCTTGTTGTGATTCCTGTTCCAGAGACACAGCTGATAAGAATAAGAGATTTATGTGTTTTCTCTGTCTCTGAATACTTTCATCACCAAAACTTAATAATAACAGTATTATTCCTTTTCTCTGTAATTATTTTGGGATGGTGTTCATTTCAACATGAAAGTGATATCATAGAAGTATAAAAGGGGGGTGAAATCAATAAAATTCACATGAAGCCACTGGTTTTAATTTGTGCACACTGCTGTTTGAATCTGAATGCTGAGACCTCAGTCATAAAGAAGAAAAAAAATGGCTTTAAGGAAAAGAACAGACTTATATTCATATACAGAGAGCCCATAAAGAAAAAAAGTATAACTTACTGTCTTCTAAATAAGCAAACAAACAAACCAACAAACAAAAGTAAAAAGGCAAGGAACAAATGAACAAAGATGAATTCAACCGTCTCTCAGTATATTTGAGGAAATGGTTCCAGGAACACTTACAAAATTCGTGCATATTCAAGTCCCACAATTGGCTCAGCAGAACCAGCCTATAAGAAAAATCGGCCCTCTGTATAAGTGAATTCTGCAACCCGGGAATACTGTATTCTCCATTGACACTTGGTAAAAAAAAAATCCACGTATAAGTGGACCTACACAATTCAAAACCATGTTGTTCAAGGGTCAATTGTATTTACTTGAAGTTATACATTTCCTTTCTCTCTCACAAAGGCTACATTCTAGTTTGGGTAGCCATACAGTAACACAATAGAACCAAATAAGAGTAATACAATTCAATTATATTTAAGGATTACATCTATATAGTAATTGGAAAATTAAAAAACACAATACATTTTTCAAGTTTAACATAAAAAATCAAAATCAATGTTCTTTATGAACTCCTCAGTTAGTTTTGGTTTTGCTTAAGATTTAACTATAGGCCACACAATAGGCACATTTGATTAATCAACAGTAATAGTATCTGTCATTCAAGTGGGATTTGCTAGCCATATTTCCACATAGAGCAATGTATGAGCTTCCAGTTCTATGTCCCTACAACAATAAAACCTGAGTCTTCTGTTTTTTATTTTCTACTATTACATCTTTTGAGTTTTGTAGTTAATAAGGATTACCAACATGTATCATTTTAAAGATTTCTATTTATCATCAAGGTTGGAAAAATATAGTTCAACTATTCTGGCAGTTTTTAAGCTTTTTCTTAGAGTAGAATTGTTTATTTAAAGAAAATATCCAGAATTTCACTAGGCTTTTTCTTAGAGTAGAATTGTTTATTTAAAGAAAATATCCAGAATTTCACTAGGCAAAAGAAACAATGAGTTCCTACAATGGAAAGGGAACAATAGGTGGTCATCCCCACCTTTAGCTAGTATATTTTTCTGCTTCCTTATCCTATACTCAGTGCTGAATGAAAAGTTAATATAAGTTCGAAAACAATGACTCATTTCCTTTTTTACTCAAATGGTAGTAAAGGCACAAAGGTATTCAATAGCTTAACCAATTTACCCGTCTATGCAAGGAGTTGAAACTGTCCCCCATATCTCCACTTCCAAACCAATGTTTTTCCCTGTCATCCTACTCTATTTCTCTCCCTTAGAATTAGGGAAACAAACAGAAAGTAGTTGTGGTTAATTTGGAATATTCTGCTGCCTCAAAGTATTTTACTCTGAAGTGTAAAGTTTCCTTTTATAGTTCATCAGTCAAAAGCTGCATGGACTGAGCTGAATATATCTCACTTCTAATTTAGATTGCTTAAACCCATCCTTTAAAGCGTTCTAATGTGAATTTTGAATGTTGCAAGTAGTTGAAACAGACTATAGTTTACTAAAAATCAGATGCTATCTTAATATAAAAACTTATCTTAGGGAGAAAAGGTATAAATAATCATAAGGCACTAGGTTAGATTTTAAATGCCATGCGTTTCATTTGGAGGAACACTAGGAAAGTGGGCTAACCATAGTGTTTTATATACTAAAAATATTTCTCCCAGAATGTCTATTAGGCTATTTATGAAAAACTACCAGGCTCCCCACCATGCCCAGCAACCACCACTTTTTTTTTTCATTTAAAAATAAAGAAGAAAGAGAGAGTATTTATTATGTCTCACCTAAAGTTCTATGTCCATCTGAGCATAAGCTAAACCCTAGAATTTTATGATTCCATGATAAAAAATAGAGAATATCACAGCTGAGTGTGGCATCTTTTCATTAATTTTTACACTTCTGAAAACATAGCATGTGAATGCTATTTTCACTCAGATATGATCAGAGTTTTATCTTAAACTATGGGGTGTATTAAAACATCATAGAGTGAATATGTTAAATTATTTTCCACAGCCTGATTATATAAAGTTCCACTTATTTAAATTTTAAGTAAGCATTACTATTATCATTAATTAAGCTTACTCTTCACATGCCAGATAAATTGTGTCCATTTGATTTGACCAAAGGACTTCAAGAATTATGTTCCTTTCCATTCCTACTATACATAACTCCAAAAATTGGTGGGGAAAAGACTGCCTTTTATCTATTAAGATGTGAGTTTCCTTTGTTTGTTTCTGATACTACCTTCCTTAATGGTTTTTGTATTTACTTATCTGATTGTATTCTATTTATTAGGTAAGTTTTAAGCAAAAATATGGTGCTAAATGTCTTATATATTTTATCTTAATTTTTAACACAGTTCTATAGGAATCATGATCACGGACAGCCAGTCAGCTGGAATTTGAATATGGATGTGGTATATAATACTCCACATCCAATGATCTTGACTTATACTCTCTATCCCTCCTAAAATCCATATGGTATGATTATAGTGCCTAGGGCAATGCTGACATTATTGAAAACAATGACTGAGAATATATAGAATGATTCTTACCTTAGACCAGTCACCCATTCGCCACACATAGCATTTTGAATAATCTTCACAGTCCTCAGCTTCCCTGGGTCTAGTGGAAAGGACACACTTCTTTCTTGGGTTAGTACACCTCACAGTCCGATGCCGTACGCCTTTGCCACACTTGACTGAGCACTGGAAGATAACATCAGAGGGTTTAAAGTTGGTGACTAGGAGAAACAGACTATAGATTAAATTATGTTAAGTACTGGTTTCTAATCATCTCACTTATGAGCCTGTCATCCATGTAAAAGCCAGGTAAAATAATAAAGAATAAGTATAATACCAGCTAAGTATGAATCAGAAGTCAGATAGAGCTTAAGGCAGAGTGCTAGATATAAATGATTTCAGGAATAATGAACCATTATTAGAGTGAGTAAAACAAAAGGAATTATTTAAGAAAGATAAATAGTATGCAATTATCAAATATAAGTTACTAAACCTTGGTTGATTCCGACTTTTTAATATAATCATGTAAGGAAATTCATTTTGTTTGTTAAGACTTACTATTCTTTAGCCTGAGGACATGTATGTGAAAAATGACAATTTCTCACAGAATGTCATTTCTCAAAAGCATTTCTTAAAATTAGCAGAGAGAAAATCTTAGCAAACATAAATAATTTATTTACGTAATTGTACACCCCTAGAAATCATCATTCTAAATAGTTGTATGGACTTAGTTCAAAAATAGTTTCACTAATTTAATTAATGATTAATGTATACTAGATGATGGTGACATAATAGATTAAAGCATATTACATATATCCTACCAATCTTTTTCTAGGTATAATTTACTTTCTCATTTACATATCTCCTCTCTAAGATAGAATATGCACAAAGCATCTCTGTTTTCCAAAAGGCATGGCATCACTGACTACCTGGACATGAGGGCTAAAATTGCACTGGGTATATGGGACTAGTTATGACAAATCTTGAAAATCCAATATATATCTGTGTCTGGAAAAGGTTCAGAAAAAGAGTGGCAGCATGCAATTATTAATGACGTTACATAGGAATAACCATGCTTGATTCCAAATCTTTGCTTCTAGCCATGTGGAGAGAAGCTGAGCTCATTCCCCTGCTCACACTCACAGGCTTTAACAACAGTTGTGTTGTTAAATGTAGACATGAAATAAATATTTTAAATAGGTATACTGAATCTTACACAAATAAGTAACTAATAATTTACAGTTTGCATTTCAATATGCTGACCTTTAAATTGGACTACACATTGTGATTTGGTATTTTAATATTTATAATTTTACTTTGCAATTGAAACTATCCATGATTCATAAAATATAGTTTAAAATTAAATCAAAATGAGAGAGACATTTTACAATTGGCATATTGTATTGTGACATATTATTTCTCCCAGCTGATGTCAAAAATCTGTATTGTAAATATTTCCAACCAATTTCCTTCTGAAGCGTTGGCAAAACTGTTCTGATTAGGCTGGGAGTGGGGTATTCTTGTTTCTCTGACAGTCATGTGACTCTTCCTTCCAGATTTAACTGATTCATTTCGATGTAAACTATGATTTGGTATTCACTTTCAAAAGTATACACCATAATTGAAAAAGAATCTATTAAACAGCAAGGTACAACCCAGAAAAGTAAGAGAACAGAAAGCTGGGATATGTGCTAATGTGCTTTTTTGAAGTGCTAGGGTTAACTGAAAAAGAGTTAGCAACCTTATCTTCTAAGCCAGTTTATCTTATTTTCAAAAGACTGGCTATATACTTTAACGTGACATTTTTTATTTATGATTTTTGCATCTTATCTAATATGCTGAAATAAGTACACGGATGATTTTGCTTGAGTTTGTCCTTGCACATGTGTGTATTTAAGTTAGTGTGTGTGTGTACATGCACCCAGACACCTAAAATCCTAAAGAGCAGCCAGTATACAAGTAATGAGTGATAGCTATTATTATGCAAAGACATGCATCATGACAACAGAAAACAAGTCACTATGATTTAGCACAGAATACCCTTGTAGCTTACACACTACAAGCTATTTGGGGCTGGGTGGTGCAGTGAGGAAGACAGCTTTGGCTTTAAATCCCAGTTCTACTACTTAGGTATGACTTGTTGTAGTCTATTTAATTTGTCTGAGCTGTACTATCGTCACTTATGAAATGGGAAGCACATTTCTTACACTGGTGATTAAATGTAAACAATCTACTAAATATGAAGTAAAAACACACTCCTTGCTCACACAAAATAATTGTTAAATTCTTTTCTTTATTCTGTCCCTTTTAAATGTTCAGAGATATGCAATGAGTTAAATGTGTATTTTAATGTGTGCCCACTCAACAGTGTGTTCATAGCATAGAAATAAAAAAGCAGAATTCTAAAATGTAGATAAAATATATTCTTGGTTATGTTACAATATTCATCAATATTATTAATATTTATAAAGAGCAAATATCTTTGCCTTTTTCTATGTTCAAAATTATTTGAATATATACATTTTATTAACAACAAAATTAATAGCTAGTATAGAAAAGTATTAACTGCCATGCAGAGAGATTCTGGACATGATCCAACCTAACCTTGTACTAGTTAAGAGTCAGAGAAGAAATAGGGAAATAAATGGGACATGTATGTACCTCAGACCATACTCCTGCCTCCCACACCGTCATACAGTCCTGGCCCTCGCAGCGCTGGGCAGTGGTAGGCTTAGGTCCAGTGCAGTCCCTTTCCCGAGCTCTAATCAGAGTTCCGTTGCTCAGTTGTTGGGTACAGGCCACTTGTCTACTCTGCATTCCTTTCCCACAAGTCCGTGAACAGGGAGTCCATTCTGTCATCATCCATCTAAAAGTAAAGCAAGAGTCACTGGAAATAAGTTAAAAGATATTTATCTACCATGTATCTTGACATGTCTAGAGTTAGCAGAATACTACACACTAACTTTATAACCCCCTTTTTAAAAAAACTAATGTGATAATTTTCTCCGAGATGCCCATGCATATATATGACATCAAGTCAATAAAAAGCATGAGTAACTATCTATCTATCTATCTATCTATCTATCTATCTATCTAGCCAAGGTCTTATTCTTAACAGAATTTCAAAGTGTCTATCAGACTCTGCCCATGTTACCATACAATTTACCTTTTACTGTCCACCACTTGGCCACACTAAGGTACCCTGTAAGTATAAAATTGCTAATATCCAGGAGTTATTCCTATTCTTTATATTTTGAATCTTTAGAATAGCCCTGTGGGTTAGGTAGCACAACTAATATGGCCATTTATGGAACAGGAAACTGAGGCACACTGTGGTTTAATAACTTAGCAAAGGTCACAAGGGTGTGGAGCCAGAAATTGAATGAGCCTGTAGATTACCTCTTACTTGGTCAAAGCAATCAATCACCAAGGCATTATGCTTATCACTGGCAATAAGATTTCTGTCACTGGGCTATATACTTCCAGACAGAGCTACATATGCTTTTTTAGGGCTAACCACTGTCTAGCTGTAGTGGGATGGTAGATACTGGAGTGACAGACTAAGGGCTAAACTTAAAGTGATTCAATTTTACAGGATGTCAGGCTTCCAATATTACTTTTTGATTGCACTGATTTGGGCACCTGGCCAAAAATATGTATTTTAATACCTAGATGGATATCTCTTTTCCACTGCCAGTCATTAGGGTAGTGGTATGTATCTAAAGTCAAATCGATTTTATTGAATTGGTACCTACTCTAAGGACTACTAATTTAAACATTTCCCCAAATTTATTTCAGGAAAAAACCAAAACCTATGTCAAAAGTGATTCCTAAAATTTGGTACTTATATGATTCTTGTCAATAAAAATTTTCTTTGTATTTCTCATAACTTGGACAATCTTATAGGGAGACCCAAACTAAACTCTCTGCACAATCCTATTTTAGCACAGGACATGGCAGTCAGACCCTGAGGTTAATTGTGGATACCTAACTAGTTACCTTAACTAATTATTTCACATTCTCGAAATAATACTTATCAACTGTAAGTTTCCATTTTCTCATTTGGAAAAGGGTATATGTTATTATATTGCCTTATATACAATAGGTACTCAGCATATATATTATATTTTGCAGTATATTTGAAATGATTTATATTTATTCCTATTTTTTTTAGCATCATGTTCCACTCATTTGGAAATTAACCATAGCTTGCTTCCAAACACTTTCTATTTTCAACTCATGACATTTGTTTACACAGGATCCTCTGCCTAGATCTTCACAGCCAGTGCCAAGCCCCAGACTCCTAGAATACTTTTTCCATCCAACCAAAAGGGAAGAAACTTTCCTCTGACTTCTGTCACCTGACTTGTAGCAATCACATGACTTATTAGATATTTCCTAGGTAAGTGGATTGGCTTAAAGACTACCTAAGGAATGTGGCCTTCTCTCCCTATTTAGTATATTCATTTTTCAAAGGCATAGATCAACACTTCCTTCTTTAAATTTATAACACTTTTCACATAGTAGTTTTTCCTTAAACATTCCTTCAAATGGAATTTATATTTTACTGTTTTACAGAAATAACCTCAGTTATTCCCAATTTATCTAAGCCCAGATATTCTTAGCAATAATTCACATTTAGAGGAGTCACGTTTTACAGCCTAGTTTCTCATTTGTATGACTATTTAATATGAATGACTTTATGTTTCTGTTTCAGAAAACGGAACAATTTCATGATAACATTTGTACTCTAGTACTAACCGTGTAAAAGTTTTTGTTCGCTGGTCTATCAAATATGATACAGACCTACCATTTTGCTTTGGAGTCCCCTAGTGGATTTTTCCTAAAGTGAATATCTTCCAAATTTAGTTTCACTTCTGCTTCATATTTCTGTACAAGAATGTTCAGGAAATAGTCACAATTTAAATACATCTATATACCATTTTCCTGTCTATGGAACCCAAAGGCACTACTGGGTTCTTCTGTACTGAAAAGAAAAGTATTTGCAATTCTGTGGACTCTCATATTTTTTAAGAAGAATAAAATTTTGAGACCTTTAATATAATTATAAAAAGTTGATTTTCTTCCATTCTTCATGAAAAGTACTCAAAAAGAAAACTAAAATGTAACATATATTCTAATGAGAAAACATATCTTTGTGCCTTAGAATTCATCTAATTTGGAATGATCCCATTTGCTTATCTCTAAGAGGCCTTTTTACACAGCTATTTACCAATGCATTAGAGTCTATTTTATAATTGGCACAAAGAATGTCATCAGGCAACTTGGTGACTTTTTAAATAAATGTAAAAGGAAAACAGAATGTTTTTTTACTGGAATGGAGGAAAAGCCAGGATAAACAAAAGTTGTGCTTGGCCAGGAAGTTTTGGAAAGTTTTCCTGTGAAGATCCTTAATACATGCCTATGTCTATTTCTTACTTTTCAATATTTTGAATAATCTCACTGATATCATTTCTTGGTCGTTCAAAATATACTGCCTCCCTTTTAGTGGAAGGAAGATAATCTCTAATATTATCGAACAAAAAGGCTTCCAGGCCGGGTTTGGTGACTCAGCCTGTAATTCCGTGCCTTTGGGAGGCTGAGGTGAGTGGATTGCCTGAGCCCGCAGGTTCGAGACCCGCCTGGGCAGCGAGACCTCATCTCTACAATAAATAAAAAAAATCAGCTGGGTGTGGTGGCACATGCCTGTAATTCCGGCTACTTGGAAGGCTGAGGTGGAAGGATAGCCGGAGCCCAGCAGGTCGAGGCTGCGGTGGCCGGGAGCGGCCACTGCACTCCAGTCTGGATGACAGAGTGAGACTCCAACTAAAAAAAAAAAGGCTTCCAGTCTCCAGCTGCAAAAATTTCTCACTGAGAAATGTATTGATCTTTTAAAATAATTCCTTTTACCAAGTCATTATCGAAGCATTTTTTTTCTCCAAGATAGCTGAGGTCAGTGAATGAACAATAAGTGGTACATATTATATACTAGGCTCCTTCACAGACCAAGTTAGGAACTGACAAATATGCTTTAGTCCTCAAATCGAGCTCAAAATTCCTGCTGTATTACAAAAATCTCATTTATCAAAATGGAAAAACTATATGGTCTATTACACAAATAGTGTTTTGAAATATTTGAATAAATTACTTAACATAGAATAATTTAGCATTTTAATATCACTAAAGGGGATAGAGAGAAAAAGAGAATTTTTGGAAATAGTAATAACAAAAAGATTCCAGGTTTTTAGAAAAGCTGACAGGGCAAAGTCCAAAAATGCAGCTTATATATCTGTTCAGCACTGAATGGGAAAAAAACCCAAGGACCTGACCGTAAGCAACAATAATTCCCTAGGCCACCCTACCTGGTGACTATGATGCATCATGAAAATGTTTACCAGTCCACACATTTATGGACTTAGGCTGAAAAGCATACAGACAGGAAGGAGCAAAGTATATAACATTGTTGAAGGTATATTTATGTACTTTTCTGTTTTCTACATCTTTTTATATATCATTCGTCCCTTCTATTCTTTTAGAAGCATATATTTTCCTGGGATAAGATTATTAGAGCAGAAATACAAAACACTCGGAAAGTTGATAATCAGCTTTCAATATCTAAACTACACTGACTCTACAGAGAAGCAAGCCTTCAAATTTCAACTTTGTAGAGGAATAAAGTATTTTCCAAATCTTTTTAAAGTCCTCACTAACTTAGTATGATCCAGATCTGGAGGGCATAGTAATTGAGTTTTACAATGAGGCAGAAATAGAGACAACTCAGGATGCAGTGCTAGGAAGAATGCAGGGAAGGAAAAAGGAATAGGGACATCAGGACTGGGCATTTGCTTGGATGACACCAATTCCCAAAGAGATTATTTATAATAAAAAAGTCCAGATATGGTTAATTGGCAACTTTGTTTTTCATTTTGTGTACCCTGTACCTACTCATTGTGTTAGAGGGTCATGATGGTGATATCGGTTATAGAATGCTATAGAATCTTTTCATATGTGACTTGTGGGGGGGTAGGTGTAAATTCACCATGAATCCATTGTAGAAGCTATTGTGAAGGGGAGATCAATACTGTTTGACCACCTAAGAACTCCTAACTATATGGCCTAACCCAACCTCAGCAAATTCCTGAGTGTAAGCAGCAAGTAAATATGCCTGTCTCCATTATCTACAGGAATCAATCCAGCCTCACTCGTTTTTGACATCCCATCCCTAAAAGTTTTTAGAACTTTTGACAATAGGTCTGAGGCTAATCCAATCCAGCATTTGTATGTGAAAGCAGGTGGCTTTTCAGAAGCCCTGTGATGGTCAGTAGCCTTGCTGCTAGTCCTCTCCAAAATTAAACTCCAAACTTATACTCAGGTTCTACTCATTTGTTCCTGCTTCATCTTCAGATAAGCAAGGAATGGCTTCTTTCTTTCTCTATCACTGTCAGCTGCTCAGTATTGCTGTTTTGTCCTCTACTCCTGAGTTTCTTGCCTGCTTTGTTACTTAATACACATTGAGGAAAATCAGAAGGAACCAATGCAGTCCTGGTTCAGTAACTAGGTTCCAAATCAGAAATCCAGTGATCAGAGCTCAGGAATTGGGTAGTTTGCACTGGGAACTCTTGGAGAGGAAGTGAAGAATTAGCTTTAAGAACCAGAAAGATCACATGGCCTCTGTTGTTCTGCTGGTGTGTGGGTCATGACCAGATTTGTTTTGGTTTATATTACCCCTGGAAAATTCTAACACTTTATCTTGGAGAATTCAGGAATAAATAGATAAATTCAATCAAATAACCAGAATTTTTGGAGGAGACCTACATGTTATGAAATGATTTTAATTACTTCTCAACAATCACCATTCCTAATGCTACCCCTTACCACTATTGAATGGTTGTTTTCACGCTGGAGAGGAAGGTCAAAAGCTAGGTGGATCCTAACCTTGTTTTCTTACACTTTGCTTATTTACAGCTTTACATTTTGGTGCATATCTCTTTGCAATGTCTTTTAAGAAAATGTGATTTCAGTAATATTCTGTGTTTGTTTTAGAGGCCAGTCATTTAATGACCAAACAATGCTTTCATGATAGCTGGAATAGGGTTACCTTGTTTGACACGGTTGCTCATTACACTTTCGAATCTGTGGCTCTGGTTTGGTTAAGTATTTGCATTTCTTGTTGTCCACAATGCTGATATTTTTGCTCATTATTTTTGTGCAGGATACTGTTGTCTTTCTTTCTCCTGAAAAGATCAAATAAACATAAAAATGTTTGTATGGGCCTTTATGTAATGAATTTAGGAGGTGTTTATAGGCTTGTCATACTTTTCAAAGCTATTTTAAACAAATTCTAGGTTAGATCAATGAATATATTATTTATAATGTAAGTGACAAAATGTACCTCTATGCTTAAATAAGATGAATAAAAATTTTTCCTTTTTGGAAATTAAATGGCAAGTTTTATATACAAAGTGATCATGGCAACACAAGTTATTAATTGAAGACATTATTGTAAAGGATTGTAGCTATCTTTTAGCATTAAATAGTTGAAAGGAGTGTAGCTATCTTTTAGCATTAAATAGTTGAAAGGAGTGTAGCTATCTTTTAGCATTAAATATTTGAAAGCTGTATTTGTATAAAACATTAGAATCTAACCTTCCTAATGTGCTTTCCTGAAAGTACATAAACATGCATGCACATTTTATCGTTTGGTTTGTATATCATCAGTGCTTTATAATGAAATATAGAAAGTATGCTTATTTTGAGTATAACTCAGACCCTTATTTTTATTACCTCCGGTAAAGACTCCAAGAATTCTAGAAAGCTTTACTCTCAAATGACTGTTATCTTCCCTAAGACTCTTACTGTCTTTCATCAGATTTTAGAAAACTGCCTCACTTTCTCTGGTATGATAAAGTCTGGTTACAGGAGGTAAAAACGACAATTTGTATGCTATTTTTATTTTCCTTATAGCTCTGTAAGCACACTTCCTTGATAAGATTTTTATTATTCATCTTACACTTAAGAGTCTTGTAAGCAAGGACACTCACATCATAAGCTTTGTGACAGTTAGAGAAGCTTAGCTCTACTTATTTTATTTCACTGAAAAAAAAACAATAGAATTAGAGAAAAAATGTATTGCTCAACTACACATACATTATACCCATGAAAATACAACTGAGATCTTAAATCCATAAGGAAATGTTATTGTTTGAGGTTTTCATTTATATATTTTTATGTCCTAGCCAACACAGGAAATTTCCATTCTAGCATCTAATAGCTGTAGCTACAATGCATCCAATACTGTGGAACCTAGGGATGAACAGAAAGTGATCACTAACTGGCTTTTTGCCTGAACCATGAGAGCTGTAGGTTGTTGACAGAGTATTACTTGCTATATGGCAATTAACTTCATCTCTGGGTCATTCCCATAAAAACAGTCTTGAGGAAATCAGTTTGGATGTTTTGAATGTAGTTATAAATAAAGTAAAATAACCATTATGCATTCCACTCTTTAATAAATGGCAAAATCTGAATATGATGAATACATTTTATTGCTAAATTTTTGTTCCTTGAATACTTAACAAAGACTACACATTTTATTAAGTGAGCCTTCTTTTCCAGTCTCACAGATAGGCTGATACAAATAGGCTCTGTATTTTACACATAAAATGAGTATTTTTAAATAAAATAATATCCTATCCAGGTAGATCACAATTCTAGAATTTGCATCATGTATACTGAAACAAATTTCTGGGGGTAGATTTTGAGTTTCAATATACATAACTGAAATTCTCTATATTATTGAACATTGCAAATTTTTATATTAAATTGTGAGACTCTATAAGGCAGAGTATATATAGTTCATATATATATAGTATATATTTTATATATATGTGGAGAGAGAGCAAGACAGACAGAGACAGAGAGAGAGAATATGATTCTTTATAATGTTCTTAAAATATTTTGCATATTTATTTTATACCCTGAGATGTTGCCAAAGTCCTTCATCAGTGCAAGGAGGTTTTTAATAGATTCTCTTGGATTTTCAAGGTATAGAATCATGTTGTCTGCAAAGAGTGATAACTTAACTTCCTCTTTTTCTATTGGGATACCCCTGATTTCCTTCTCTTGTCTGACTGCTCTAGCTAGGGATTCCAATACTATGCTGAACGGGAGGGGAGAGAGTGGACATCTTTGTCTTGTTTCGGTTTTCAGGGGATATGGTTCCAATTTCTGTCTGCTTAGCAGTATGTTGGCTGTGGTTTTCTCACAGATGGCTTTTACTATTTTGAGGTATGTTCCATCAATGCCTAGATATTCGAGGATTTTTATCAAGAAGAGGTGCTGGATTTTATCAAAAGCTGTTTCCGCATCTAATAATGTAATCATGTGGTTTTGTCTTTACATCTGTTGATGTATTTAATTACGCTTATGGTCTTGCAGATGTTGAACCAGCCCTGTATCCTGGGGATGAAGACTACTTGGTCATGGGGAATGATTTTGGAGATGTATTGTTGAATCTGGTTTGCTAGAATCTTGTTGAGAATTTTAGCATCTATGTTCATCAAGGATATTGGCCTGTAGTTCTCTTTCTTTGTTGGATCTTTACCCGGTTTGAGTATCAATGTGATGTCGGCTTCTTGGTTGTCTGATATACTTTCAGTAGGATTGGTATCAGCTCTCCCTTGTATGTTTTGTAGAATTCTGCTGGAAAGCCATCTGGTCCAAGACTTATTTTGTAGGTAGTTTTCTTATGACATAGTCGATTTCCTGGGTTGTTACTGTTCTATTTAGGGTCTTGATTTCTTCTTGTTTCAATGTGGGGAGGTTGTGTGATGTAAGAAAATCCTCCATTTAATTTAGGTTTTCATGTTTGTTTCCATACAGGTGTACACAGTAATCTCTTTGGTAAAGTCTCAGGGTTTAAAATAAATGTGAAAAAGATAGTTGCATTACTATACACCAACATTAAACAAACAGAAACCCCAACAAAAAGCACAATCTCATTCACAATAGCCACCAAAAAAAATGAAATACCTTGGCATCTTCCTAACCTTCACAACAAAAAACCTTTACAACAAAAACTACAAAACAGTGCTCCAAAAAAGCTTCCCCCCAAAACAAAGATGACACAAACAAATGGAGAAATATTCTATGCTCATGGATTAGAATAATCAGCATTGTTAAGATGTCCATTCTACCCAAGGCAATCTACAGATTTAATGGAACAGCTATTTAATTACCAGCAGCATTCTTCTCAGTCCTGGAATGACAATACAAAAACTCATATGGAAACATAACGACCATGAATAGCCAAAACAATCCTCAGCAAAAAAACCAAAGTGGGAGATATAACACTCCCAGACTATAAACTTTATTATAAAGCTCCAATAATCAAAACAGCCAATAAAACAGCCTGTTCTTATACTGGTATTCATACAAGAAAAGACATATAGACCAATGAAGCAAGATAGAGATTCCAGAAGCAAAACTTTAATTTCTCAACCAGCTCATCTTCGACAAAGGCTCCACCAACAACCACTGGGGAGAGGAGAACCTATGCAGTAAATAGTGTTGGGAAAACCGACTACCACATGCAGAAGATTACAAGACCCCTACCTATCACCATACACAAAAGTCAACTCTATGGATCAAAGACCTAAATGCAAAACCTCAAATGGTAAGAACCTTAGAAAATGCAGGAGACACCCTTATGGAAATTGGAACCAGCAAACAATTCCTGATCAAAACCCCAAATGCCCATACCATAAGAGAGAAGATGTTAATATAAAATATTTTTTTCTATTAGGAAAATACAAAATTGTAACAAATATTATAGAAAAAATAATGCAGAGAAAAAATGGAGTATAAACATATTCTGGTGCATTTTCTTTGACAAGTAATTATTATTTTGGTACATGCAAAGTACCTTCAAAATGTAAAAAGCAAAACAAACCACAATCTCAAAAAGATTCTTTCCTGTTAAATATATTCTAGAGGGTTTGAAAAGGTATAAGCATTTGTATACTGAGATGTTGTCCTCAACTTGGACACAAAGGTTCTTTACGATCTGGATATGGATAAGAAAAGCTGTGTCTGGAAGATCTCACAATGCTAAGGAAACAACATTCATAAGCTAGATGAACTTGGACTGATGTGAAAAATGTGACATGTTGGCTCATTTTTTTCTTCAAATTTGATCTCTTGAGAATTTCCTCAGAGCATGTTTAACTCTTCATTTGTTTCAAAAGGGTTATTGAATTTTTGGGTTCCCATTCTTTCTTGTTTCTCGAATCTATCCCTAGATCAAAACAATCCTAGAGTAATACTGACTCTGTAGTGCTGACTCTACATACAAGGCTCAGGTATTTTGAAATAATACACCTTTAATGCCTGTGAAGACCAAGAGCATTTAAAGCAGGTCTTTAACGTCAATAAGAACTTCCTAGCAAATTGATCCGCACTTCTGAGGTGCCAAAATAAATTCAAAACATTCCTTTAAATATTTTTAGAAGTTTCAGAACTTTAATGCAAAATAAACATTGATTTCACAAATATATTTGAAGCTGTTTGAAAATAAAGAACTAGTTTCAATGACTGATGCTACGATATATTAATTCAAGTCTAAAATTATCATTGGACTCTAAAAAGACTGTGATGAAAAGTATATGATATCTCCTGTATGTCAAAAAAATTACTTGAGATCACTTGCCTTTATTAGATATTTTAAGATAATATCCCTTTCAAAAGAGAGAATTTCCATATCTTACAATAGCTGGCATTAATAAATTAATACAATAATAAACAGTAAATTAATATAAACAAAAAATAATAATAATAATAAATGTAATATATTTAGTTTAAGTTATAATTTTAAAACTTAATTTGAGATACTGATATAAAAGATCAATATAGTAAAAATTAGCTAGACAATACAAAGTATCTTTAAACAAACTCTCCCACTTACCTCAGTTCCAGCAATTTAGTAACTTACAATAGATTTAGAAAAATAGCTTATCTCAAACTTTGAAATTTTAAGCTGCCCTGTGATACTTTATTTGCTCTTACTTATTTCTGTAAAATAGAATAGTGCCATTATTATTCCTCTTTGCTGTTGAAGATAAGTTTTGCATGAATCTGTTTCTAATATTCTGTGCTTTGAACTTACTCTCATTTAATTCATGAAAATGCTGAGAGATTACAAAGCTCTTTCTGGCTATAAAATGAATGATATGAAGTCAGAAATGATGCGATTCTTGAAATCCTGTCCATTCACTTTATTTATGAACTGCAAAGGAAAATAATATCCAAAAGCCCAGAAATATTTTGGCATTGAAATGAGTATGTGCCCTATTAACATAGGCAGAGATAATTGAAAACTGTTGACTAAATACAATGGAACAGAGTTGGAAAAGAAGGTCTCTTCAAGCACAAATCATATAAAAGTTATATATTATTAGAGTGATTATTTTATAAAACCAATCATTTGAAATACAAATAAGAACATATCTAAATTCTTATTTAACACAATATTAGAAAATATCATTTTGAATCACAAAAAGCCTAAATCATCTCTATGTTGTGGAAAGAAACATTAAGCTTTCTGTGCTGCTTTTGAAGACAGCACAATGAGGAAGAAAGACTCAATTCTAACCCTGGTTCCACACCTAATGGGCCGTGTCACCCGGGGAAGTCACTTAATCTCTATGCCCTTCAATTTCCTCATGTTGATAATTAAGTCATAATTTAAAATACTTAATATTCCATCTAACTCTAAAACTAGAATAGTTTATAGTCAACTAATATTTCTTAAGGTCGAGCAATTGGCAAATCAAATTTTAGAAAGTAATGTGATTTTGGGGGAAAAAAAGTTTTAATGTTAAACAATTTGCTTTTTCAAATTAAACTGACAAGTTCTGTATGTTTAACTCTTGATGCAGTTTCTATTAGACCACAATTGCAGATGAAGGGGGAAAATGAAGATAATAAAATTCACTGGGCAAACATTTTCTTGCCTAGAGTTCTAAATGTCAACAGGTTTTAATTTAAACCGTCTTTCAGAGCTATAAGATGATCCATCAGCCTCTCCATCACTTCTTTCCCCCATAGCCCACCACTACCAAGGGATGGGGCCTCATCAGTGGGATCGAAGACATGACTGAGAACTTTACCTGAGTTACGTAAAAGAGAGAATTGTAGCTGTGTATAATTTCATTTTGAATATGTTTGCTTCTATTTGTGTTTTTTATTTGGATACAGGATGTGAGCCAGAGCCCCTTAAATGCAATGAGCCCTGGCATCAGTGAAGGAGGGAAGAGCAGAGGAACAGGAATTTGGGTGCTTATGGGGGTGTCAAGAGGAGAGGATGGGAGGATAGAGGAGTTCAAGGTAGTGCATGCAATAATGGGACCCCAAACACGGCCACTGAAAAGTTCCTTGTGGCCAGAATCACCGATAATATATTTTTAAATTAAAAAAAGTGATTTGAAACCTCTTCAGTGTAATTACCCTGTATCCTTGGGTCAAAGTGCATTCTGGATAACCTTATTCTTCCTCTGTCTCCGATGTTTTCTTTGCTCTGGTGGCCTGAGAAGGTCATGTGCTCCTGCCAGGTGAGAACCCTGAGGCTCTTGAGTGCTCTGGCCAATGCCACAACTTCACAGCCTCTGCTCCTTGAATGTTTCTGGCACCTTCTTTCTCATGAGGACACAATTTCTTGCTTTCTCTGCAGCCTTCACCAGTATGTTTTTCTCATGCCCCAGTAACAAGTGGTGTGTGTTCATGCTCCCCACTGCTACTACCAGATCCTTCTCCCTTTCTTCTTTCCAACCCTCCAGCTTTGAATCAGAATATGCATCACATGACTCTTCTTGTAGTTAGTAACTTCTAGGTCACACACTATCTTTAAGATCTTAGCTCTCAGTTTATTATTGGTTTTCTAACACTGCTTCTTGCACAATTCTTAAAATTGCAGTATCTATTTGAATGATTCTGCCAACACCAGGTTCTCTCAGTTCCTGGCCACCTTCCTTCCCAGAGCACTGAAAAAATTATACTGTTGATACATGTGGATATAATTTTAAGTTGGAAGTCTCATGACCTGACATCCTTTCTTGGCCTTACTACTAACTGGTTCTATGAGTAACAACCATCTATTTAATCCACAGGACACAACTGTCTTTTTGGTACAATAAAGGAGTAGGATTAAGTGATCTCTTAGTCTCACATTTTATGCTGAACTAAGTTTTATTCTTTTGCCTCTTCAACCTCTAAAATAAAAACAAGAAACTTAAAAAAAACTTTGAGCACAGTTTCAGGATGCTTCTTATTTACTGAAAATAGTGGCACACTCTTAAAAAATAGCAAACTAAAGGAATTAGGGAATTAAATTACTTTTTTCACACATTCTGCATAGTGTTGGCCCTCAGTATTCATGGGTTTTGCAACTATGGATTTAACCAAACTTGAATGAAAACCCTTGGATACGAAAGGCTGACTGTAGGTATTTTCCATCTCATCATTGGTTAAATTGTGGATTTGGAACCCATAGATACAGGGGGCTGACTGGGCTGTACCATTTTATATTGGGAACTTGAGCATCAGCAAATTTTGGTATCCATGGGAGGTCCTGAATACCGAGAGCCTACTATACGCAGCATAAGTATGCAAACAACATAGAACCAAATTAAATACTACTCTGTCAAAGAACCCTCACATTCAACTCAGGTCTGCAATTCTTGTAGGCAAGTGTACTTTGGATTTTAGAACTTTTAAGATCTTACAGAAGCAACACAGTACATAAGTACGACAGAACAACTTGAATGGTGTCGAGGGAAGTCCCTGTAAACAAATATATTAATATTTATGCAATGGGATGTTATCATATCAAGTGAGATATGTAACAACTCTAAATAGCTTTTATTCAAAGTCAGATTTGCCCACAAAGTAGTTCAGGTGTTTAGCCACTAAAGATGTCATACAAAATTTTCATTTCTAATCCTTTATAAATTTTGGAATTGTAGATCAGGGATTTTGGATCTGTCTTAATTATCAAAGGTTATCAGAAAACAACATCTGTTTTGGAAAAATAAATACTTAAAAATCTTTCACCTCCTCCACACGTGGCATCGCAATCTTCCCAGCCTGTGTGTGTCCACATGAAGAGGGGCTCAGGGGCCTTAGAACTCTGGTTCTCTGGAAGAGGGTCTGATGGGATTGTGTATTCATAGTGAAGACCATAATTCTGATCCTGAAACAGGAGCACCTAAGTATATAAAAGTGATCAAGGCAAATGGGTCAAACTGGAGCACATTCAATATGAAGCACAAAACTAAGGATACTGACACCTTAAAATGCTTATTGCATGATCTGCATGTGGTTTTGTTATTGTTGATACATGCTTCTTTAATGCACAGTAGAAATGTGACATTACTTTTAAATGTTGATACTGTCATGCTTTTACAAAGATTGGAGCTTCATACTTACCCCTGTACTGAAGACATAACAAAGAAAATTCATTTGAATAAGGTCAGAGATACCAAATCATTTTCTTTCAATTTGATGGACTAAATCATTTTCTAAAGCATAGCACGAAGTTGACTTTAGTGGGGGAAGGTGGGGGGGAGTGGTACAGAAATATGTATCCTATCTAATGTCAAGATATGACCTACAATCTAATATCAAATGTAGACTTTCCATTCTTTTAATATAAAAGGGAAAGATGGACTGGAAGTCCTGAGTCAACAGAGGAAGAACATAGAAGACTCTGCAGATCACTGTATTCCATAAAGGCAGAGAATTTCTAAGCCAGCTGGAAGACAAGAATTTCACTCTAGGTGTGCTTAAAGTTAACCTTTAATTTTGGCAAGTTTACTGATTTCCTAATTGTAGAAAATATTGTTCCCTCTGAAATTAAATTTATGTAAAAATAACTTTTAAATAATATTAATTTAAAAACTAAAGTTATACATATGTGTAAATTATTCAATAAACCATAAAGTATATATGAATGACTGAACTTTGAGCTACACTGGATTAAACTATAACCAGGGACCATGTCTGTTTTGTTCTGTACTGGTACTCAGTACCAGGTTCAGAACTGGATCACCATGGGCACTTACGTGTGTGTGTGTGCACATGCGTGTGTGTATGTGTATATATGTGTGTGTGTATGTGTATATGTGTGTGTGTATACATATATATTCTCTTTCATATACATTATATATGAAAGTATATATTTTCAAATGAAAGAGTGATTAAGAAATATGTTTCTTTATGCAACCATTTAAATAAAAGGTGTCAAACTGTTCCATGAAATATATCACTTCTATGATTCTGAGGACTATGGAAAGAGTCTACATAAAACAATGTGATATATAAAAATCATAACTAAAATTTTAAATTGTACTAAATTATTAAAACATTGTGTAGTATTTAATCTGTATCAAGGTAGTTATTATGATAGGAAATACAGATTAACAATCCAATGGAAAATATTTAAATGAGCTCAAGGTTAAGAGTCTGAACATTTTTATCATATTTTCTTATTTTTCTCAAGGTTTTATTCAACTTATCAACAGAACTACTAAAATATTTTGATGGGTGGATTGGAAAACTAGTGAGTTGACTTTATAAACAACTATATTAATAAAAAAATAATAGTTTTTCAGTTCACAAATGCATAACATACAAGGTACTAATTATAAGTACACCACAGTGTTTATATTAGCTTAAGTATCTCATTTGATGTTGCCAATTTGTTATAAGTGGCTTTAAGCCTAATGAGTTGAAAGAGAGAGGGCTTAAATGTGTTTTGGAAAAATGGCATACCATGTTTATGGCTATAGCCAGACTGTTACATAGTTTTCAAATTGATGAAATGAACATATAATTAACAACTATTTGCCAACTAATTTAATATATATGTATCTATTTTTCCAAATAAGCTACCTTTTCATTGATAGCACTTTAGGTTGTCCTTGAATATCTAATACCATTTAAAATAGAGACATTGGCCACAAAACCATTAGCTCTTTCTTAAATCATTTGAATTTGGCAATATTTTTTGCAAAAAGGAAAGTGTGACCACGCTACAGTTGAGGAGCACATACTGAAGCATGGCAGCTGAAGAGATTGCCTTTCAAAACTCAGTAACGGCATTCAATCTGTAATAGTCATTAACGAAAAGTATCTTAGAAGTGCAGTTTCCCTTGGATTACTGAATAAATCCAGGTCACACAGATGCCTTCTTTTAGACATAGTTCACTGACTTTAATTATGCTTCATGCTTCCAGGAAAAACTTTGGTAATTACCAGGCAGATTAAGGATTCTGCAGCTAGGAAACTACCTCTGCCCAACACCGAGATTTCACATACACTGTTTTAAGATTTTTGAAGTAAAAGCTTAGAAGAAAAGACTTGGTATTAGTCTACAAAATAAAATAAGATAAAGTAGGTTACACTTATATAAGGCAGGCAGCATGAGAGCATTTTATACAACACAATCATTAAAAATATGTTTGCTGTTGAGAATGCTGTTATCAGAAGTGACTTGATTATGGAATGAAACAGATATTATTCGCACAATGTTTGTTCAGTCATTTTGTTTTCTCTCTCTGGAAGGCATATGACATAGCATGAAGTTTCCAACTAAAATTAAATAAAAAGAGTCAAATGAATTTTGGAGAGATGCACACAATATTATTCAAAATATGCACGTATTTATGATTCAAGGCAGATTGGTATAAAGAACTTGGATCTAAGCTTTATACCAGAGAGGTAACAGAGAAGAGTGATTAACACCTGGTTTATTCACAGCTAAATAACATATAGGACAACACTGGGCATATTGTTTAACTTTTCTCACAATTCTTCTTAATCTGTAAAATAGATCAACAATTATATTATTGTGAGGATTATTTAATCCTCAGAATTATTGTGAGGATTAAATGCTGTAATGAACATAAAGCACTTTTGAATAAGGTCTGATTTTTAAGTGCTCAATGAATGGTGAGTATTATTATTATTAAGATGTGGAATAGAAGGTACACACACCATTCACTCTACTCCCTTTATTATGTTATTAAAGCATATCAATTGCAATTATACAAAACTTTGTAATTTAAATTGTGATTTCTGGGCCAGTAACAGTAGCATCAGGTGGGAGCTAGTTAGAAATGAAAATCTCAGGTCCCCTGCCAAATCAAATGAATGAGAATATGCATTTTAGCAAGAACCCCAGGTAATCTGCAGGAAAAACAAATGGGCCAATATGTGAACCTCTGGTTCCTAGACTAGCAACACACATGACTCCAATTGAAGATAAATTCAACTTAAATCGTGTGGCGATATTAAATAATGTGGCACACCATGCTCCAAATAAACAGTCAACTGATTGTGGTTTAGAGTTGTTTTAAGTGTAGAGTTGAGGAGGTGTTGAAGTATCTGAATTTTAAGCTTCTTTTTACCATTAAGATAGAAAACTCACAGCAGCTGTGTAGTCAGTTCTGTGGTTCCTGTGACATCAGGACTAACGGCCATAATCAAGGTTGAAAGGGGCACGTGGACTTGCCACAAGCCTGGATAAAGTTCCATCATCCCGATTCTTTCCCTCCATTCTTTACCACGCATATCTAATCTTTTTTTTTTTTTTTTTTTTTTTTT